ATCTACTGAGGTAATAGCTCTTGGCATTCCATATATTTCAATTCACATAGAAGTTTGCAATTATTATTAAGAGAAAAAATAATTCAAAAAATAATTTGTATAGTTTAGTAATTCAAAGGCACCAGAGACACTTGAATTGCTTCATTAGACCTACATACACTATTTTCAATCTCATCATTAAGAAGATTAGATTACATGTTTGTAACAGTACATGACTTTATTCAATATATTTGAATGAAGTTTATTCAAAATAAATCTGATGTATTTTCAAATTTCAAGATTTTTAAAACCACAATAGAGCTATGATTGAAGAAAAAAATTATTCCATTAGAATTTTTGTCAAATGAATTTGGACATTATGTAAAGCAACTAAAATACAAATGCAACTAACAAATGCTCACACTTTAGAATAAAATTGTATTGTTGAAAAGACCAACATAAAGCTACTTAATATTGCACATAGCATAGTAATACAAGTTGGCATATCAAAATTCTTGTAGACCAAGTCAATCAACAATATAACTTTCTTACTGAATTGCTTGTCCACAAAAGTTACATCTCTAGTAATACCATTCTATTGCTTCTATGGCAAAAAACTTGATAATTCTTTTTTGAGAGTTTATGGATCTAGAATATCTGTTTAGATAAAAAAAAATCTAATATAATAAACTCCAATCAAAAGCTAATACATATTTTTATATGGAATACAAAAAAGAAATAAAAAAATAAAATAAAATAAAATTTGATTACCAGCCAAGCATAAATTAATTATCACTCAAAACATCAAGTTTGATAAATTTAGTATATTAAACAAATCAGTCTCTTTATTGATATATATGCCACCTACTACCATTAGTTCTATCTTTTTGATTATAAACAACTTGAAATCAGTAAAAGAACCATCATAACTAAATAGCAATTAATATTTAGATACATCATAGTAGCCTTCAAAATATCCAATATTATATAATTTTATAATCCTAAATACCATAACATTACCACTTACAATGGAAAATCCTCAAAATTAGCATGAAAATCATCTTTGATTTAGATTTTATTATCTATTGAGCCGAAGTGTTGTCAATTATTACTTTAATTAAGAGAACCTTCAACCAGATTCAAAGATAGTTTTATTGTTTTAATAAAATTAAACCTACTATTGGATTATTTGGATTGTATAAACTTTATTGAGTTCTTGCACTCCATGGATTTTGATTGGTGTCTAGATTTTATTAATGATTGATTAATATTATTAAGATTTAATTATAATTTATTTAGGATTCTAATAGAATTGTTAGGACTTTCTTATTGAAAATTCTATTTAAACTTTGATGAGTAGGTATCCAATGCATTCTTAAGTAAACTTCATGGAATGCAATACTAGTCTTAATTTAATTTAATTTAATTTTTTTACATCTATTTTGCTATTATGATTAAAGCTCATAGAAGTAAAGTACAATTTTTTACGTTTGATTTTTTAAAATTGAATGGCACTTTTGTTGCATAGATATTCTTTAACCAAGATATGAGTTGGATTTGTTAGAGGTGATTGGATTAGAAAATTCTTTTACAATGCTAATCTAGACACCAATCAAAATTTGGTTGGTGTCTAGATTTCTATATCCAAATTGTTTTTATTAATTTTTGCTTCAATTAAACTAGTAGATTTTTCAAGATTGTAAAAACCCTTTCTAATCCTAAATTTCAAATATATGAGATCGTAATCCAATAAATCTCTCATATCCTTCAATCTAACCATTCAATTGATATCAAAATTTTCAAGCATATTGAAGACAAACATCATAACAAACTTCCAAAATTTCACTTATAAATGTACTACGATACTTACATAATACTCAAAATTATAAACTTCTTTTTGTTCCTTAAAATCCAAACCTATTAAATACATCTCTCTTTTTGAAAATCCCTCAAAATTTTAATATATCTCTAAATCACATAATACCAAATCTCAAAAAAAAATTCACTAATATGCTCTCAAATCCCACTCTTCAATCAATCAAAGAACCCTAGAATCACCATAAGTACATGGTTTTGTACCTCAAGGTTTGATTTTGACCATGGTTCACAACTCATCCTCTCTACGTATTGATTCTTAGTATTTTTGCTAAATCTCATTTTCAACTTTTTCCTAAAGATGTCTATATGATTTATTTTCTTAATATACTTTCTTTTGTCTTATTTATGATATTACAAAGTAATTAGAAGTCTCTGTTATAAGAAGGCAATATTAACACTAATTAATTTTATAACCTTTTTATTTATTATTTATATTTTTAAGATAATTTTCTAAAATATTTTCATTTAAATTCATATATTATATAATCTTTTTTGTCTTCTTTTACCTAATGGCTGTATTATAATATGATATTAGATGGCAAACTAAAAAAATTGAAGGCTGGTTTGATTGCATGAGGCTTTAACAAGTCAAAAGTATTGATTGCAATGAAATTTTTGTTCTTATAGCAAAATAGAAAGCAATTTGATCAATACTAGTCCTATAATCAAGTAATAATTAGCTCCTATTATATCTTGATATCAAAATAATTTTTTTAAATAAAAATTTAAAAGAGGGTATATATATATATATATATATATATATATATATACAGAGAGAGAGATATCTAAAGATTTTGAACCTCTATTACAAGCATATTAATATGCCATCTAAAAAATTGCTTCATAATCCAAAATAGACTCAAAGAATCTAATTTAAGAAGATCAATGCATCTCTTGATGACTATAGTATGTCTTGCATTGAAGCTTATGCTACTTAAGAGATTTGGTAGGAAAAAATTATCTTGTTGATTCTTTGCGCAAATGATTTTCTATCATAGATTCAAACTCTAATAAGATTGTGTGGATTAAAGATCAGATCATGCAATGCTTTGAAATGTCAGACTTAAAAAAGATAAATTTATATTTAGGCATGGGATTTATTTGATTACCTATTAGAACCTTCTTATTGCAACAAGCATATCATATCCAGATATTTAAAGAATTTGAAATAAAACACTATATTTTCTCTTTTGTACCAATGACTAAGGCCTTGAACTAAGTAGAAAAGAAAACTCTCCAATAATTGATGCTAGAAGGTTTTAGAAACATATTGGTATGTTGTTTCATGTAATTAATACTAAGCCAAAGATTTTGTTTGCTACTAGTATTCTTAGTAGATTTATTTATATCCCATAGGTATAACATTTAGAAGCAACAAACCAAGACTTGAGATATATCAAAGATATGCTTAACTTTGAAATCTTTTATAGATGATATAAAAGCCCTAGTCATAGAATTTATAAACAAAGATTGAGCTAATTGCAAGTCAATATAAAATCTATTACTGATTGGATTTTTAAATCTGTAGGTGATCCAATTTTATGGACGTCTAAAAAACAAAAAAATTATTGTAATATCATCAATTGATGCTAAAGTAATAGCATGAGCTGAAGGCATTCAAGAAATTATATGACTTCGAATACTCTCAACTCAAGTTTATAGTGTAATTCCAGATCCAATTTTATTATTTTGTAATAATCAAATTATGCTGAAATTAACATGTAATTTAGTTTGTCATAATAAATCCAAAGCCATGGAATTATGACTTTATTATATTTGAGAGAACATCCTCTTAAGAATTATATATTCATTTTACATCTCAACAACAGACCAAATTACTAACATATTGACTAAATCTCTTAGTAAGCAAAGATTTATTAAATTATACAAAGAAATGGAAATTGAAAATTTGACTTTATTAAAAAGAAACTAATTCCATTATATTTGAAGTCTAGAATTACCATTAATATTCTCTCAAACTTTCTAAATTATTCTCATATATTATTTTGTCTTCTCTAAATTTTGAAGTTCTTATATTAAGCACCTCTCTAGTTTTTTTTACCTATTGTTTATAATCTGACGAATTGAAATAGATACCACATCTCCATCCACTACAAATAACATAAAACTTTCTAATTTTCAATAAGTTTCTTTGTTATTGGATCTTCTCTTCTATTGTCTTAAAATCTTCCTATTGATTTCTACAAGGCTTTTTATTCTTTATAGATTCACCTAACCATTTAAAATAAGGGTCAAAGATCCAATCATAGATATGATAGAGAACAATAAAAAACAACCAAACATCCATTAGAAGAAAGTGGAATTGTACCAAAAAAAAGAATGATTAGAGATAGAAAGAAGATATTACTAATATAGACTTTTATCACCAACACATTTTATTCAAATTATATAGAATATTATATCTAACACCTACTACTAACATCAAGTTGGTGTCACAACAATTAAAAATATCTATCAAAGCATGATTGCTTTCCCAATAGTCATCTCTAATATAAAGTATCTCAATTATGACTCTTTAAGGAAATATTAATAATCAATCTACTAAAAATTGTCTTATGAAATATTCAAAGTGAAAGAAAGTATTGGTATATCCATAATATGCTCACTTAGAGTCTCAAGTTTGTCACATAATTAACAAATAGATTTGTTATTAATACAAATTATTCCATTATTTATCTTTTCTAATCCTTGCATTGGTATGTATATCATCTCTAGCCTTGTAGTAGATCACTTCTTTTATGGGCCTATATGTATGTGTTTGTATCTAAGTATATTCTTGAATTCTTATTTACAAATTTCAAGTTCTTTAGAGGAATGTTTTACCTCCTAGTGAACCCAAATCCACATTCATTTATTTATTGAGATCACCAATCACTACTTGAATCACCCTTTCTTCATTGGTCTAAGTGGATTTTCTGTAAAGATTTCTTCTCTAGAAACCCCCTGAAATAAAGCTACAATCAACAAAACTCTAGCAATAAGTTCAATCTTGTGGGCCGAGAAACATGATGCACAAAGTTACACATGGCCTGATTTCATGGAAGCAAGAATTTTACGTGAAAACCAAATTCACCATATGTTATCCAAAGCTGAGCAAATAGTCACCCAAGTAATCGATAGGATTTAAGGCAACAAAAACTGTAATGTCTTCTAGAAGCACAGAATCTACTTTTTTGTCGATCAGCAAAGGCTCGTGGAGACGAAGAGCCATCACAACAGCACCAGTGTGGAGCTTTTTACTTCTAGAGCATTACAAATTGTGTGCAACAAGATTAAAGAGTTGAGCACACGTACTAAGCATAGGCACATACCACTGAACTTCTGTGAAAACGTGGTCATATGCATCACTTCAAAGACCATGAAACTAAATTTTTGAAAGTAGTATTACAACGGTGGTAACACTTACATCAACTCATCAGACTTAGGAAAAATGCATCCCAAACTTTGATGTCAACAAGTACCTGGTTAGTTAGATGACCTACCTTAGGTGCAACATCAACGTCAATGTCAATCGAATTGTAGTTAAGATTTTCATCTATGAAATGCATCAGTTGTGGCAGCCGCAAACATCCTCCATGTTCGAGCAAGCTGCAGTGCTCTTGTACGAGCTCCAGATCTCCCAAAGTTAAATTTTGTTCTAAGCAAATAAGTCCCCAAATTTTAGTAGAATTGTTCAGAGCTGTCACCGTCAACATCAGCATCACTATCTCGACCATCATCAGATCCAACTATTCGTCACAAGTTTTATCTCTTTTGATTCAAATTGATTTGTTAATTGTAATTTGCATCCTTGGCAGTACCACTTAAGTAGGGGTTTCAATAACAAAGGCTATTAGGTTTATGTATGTTCGACCCTGTATACCGGTAAGTTACTCTCAAGGTTAAACGAAGACAAAGCGCTCATTCCTGTAAGATAGTCATGCTTGGGCAATTTTGGCAGATACAACTCAAACAGTTTATAACCAAAACCAGTTCCGGGAATACATACCACACTATATATATATATATATATATATATATACAGACATAACCTCACCACCCTCAAGGCAGAAAAGATAAAACCAACTTGCTCCGATACATTGAGCGTACAGATATCTTTACTAGAATCTCCGGCAAAGATACGGTACCCATTAACAAAATAACTCCAACCAATGAAGGCTTTTCCTGCGCTGGAATTTTCCATTGTTCTACCGTCACCCATGAGCCGATCACCTTTGTTGTCTCCTCTGCCAGCAAGACTGGCTACTTCAACACCCTGAATAGTATCCCAGAGGTGAACGTGACCATCAGCTTTAGTACAGGCAATTCGTTTACTATCCGAACGAAAAACAACTGCAAGCATATCATGGTTGTGGGTGAAGATTTCAACTTTTTCCTTCAAAACCATCCCAAAGCTTCACTATCCTATCCCAAGTTGATGATGCCAGCACTTCCTAGCAACAGTAACGTAGAGTGTGTCCATGTTATCAATCATCTTCAACGAGTGACGGGAGATATTGAAAGGTGACTATGTGGCTGCAACACCAGTGACCACATACCACTAAAGAGCCCAAACAATGTCTAATACATGAATTCAAAAACAAGAGCAAGAATGAGACGGATTTATATGTCACTTTCTCACCCAAGTAGGAAGCAAAGTGAAGATACAGAACTCAAAGTGCTAAAAACTGTAGCAGAAGGCAACACTCCGCACGGAACAAGAAAACCAGTACTGAAGTCATTTGCAGCACGTTGCGAGCGATTTAGGTCAGGGCAGCTAAATTTCAGGTTCATTATAATCTCCAAATGAACATGCTCATGCAAGATGTGACTTGTAGAGATGAGAGAGAAGCATGAGCGCAGGACAGGGCCTTCATACCCGAACAGACAAAAGCAGCCTTCCTGTTTTCACCGACCTGACACGAAAAGAACTTCGAAACAAGCGTTCGTACACACTAGTTACCACAAACGTGGGCATAATGAAAACAGAAAGAGACATGAATTACCTGCAACCGCGGCGTCTATGCACGCACACTCTCCCATAGAAAATAGTACAGAAAATACGACGTTGTAGATAACGACAAGGCTGTAAGAACCGTCATGATATGCACATTAGGTCAAGTACAACCAGTGTCGTGTTTCACGACCGAATAAATATATAGGAGTCTACATTGTCACTAGGAGGTGCAATATCTGGAAACCATCTAAGCGCCCTCGTGCAAAGACTCACGCCACTCTGATCTACTGCTCGTGAAAATAAGTTGTGTTGACGTTGGAGAAGAAAACATTCTGCACCTTCGGTAACATACCAAGTTGAATGCCCGAACAGTTGCATCTAGAGAGGCACTTACCATCACATAATTTGCAGAAAGAAAAAACACTTCTATAATGTAACCTGTATGCTCGGTGAAGGTCATGAAGAAGGATCCCAAGGACAGTGAAGATATCAGGAGACTGTAAGTTACCTTCTTCCAGACAGCGCGCGCTCTAACCTCCACACATCGTATATCATGTATGACAAACTCAGATACCTTTCAACTATGTCAACCACTTCAGAAGTACCATCAAAACCTGGTACTATAGACATTCGTATCGTCAATTTACATAATACTAATCGAACTTGACATAAAGTTCAAACAAATACTCATTGTTCAAATGTGCACCCTAAACCATAATATAACGCAATTTCCGACAATTTGAAGTATCCTAGAAGCTACTGAATTTTCAACAAACCTTTGGCTGGTGATCATCTGCTCCACTTGCAAAATACTGGCAGAACTCCTGCAATTCACATCGAAAATAATGCCCTTCCTGCTTCAAAACTTTGCGACTTGGTACATCACTCCCAGACAACCAACTGGCCCAAAAAAGCGCAACAGGTACAGGCATGTGAAGGCCGGAAGCTGATATATAACAAAAGCTCCTATTGAGAAACCTGGACGATGATCACATGTGGTTGGCTTCGCAGTTTGCTTGCGGAATCTACTCTCAGCTATCATCCACTTCCCAATCGTAGCATTCACACTAGTTTCCATCATTTTTTCGCACGCCTCATCTCCCACTCCGATGTTAACGTTCTCTTTAACCACATATCTCCACACCAGTGCGTCTCTGTGGCCACTACGAGATTCGCTCGCAGCTCAACCAACCTGTTCGCCGAAAAAAGTCTTGCCGTCAAGTCCTTGGAGCCAGCCACTAACCAACAGCTTCCGGAGCACCATTCAATATAGCATGTAATCGTCTCCACTCGCTGAAACGAAGCAAAACAGTCGGAAACCCTGGCGCGATCCACAGCGACACCAACTTCGCAACTCCTGTAGCAATCACCATTTCATCAGCACCAAACTTAAATGCACTCACCGACGTCCTTGAATGAAAACTGGTGCTACATTTGTTGTGTGTGCAAGCTCAAGAGATTTCTCCACCCATCCTCTTCGGCGCTCAACACTTTCGAGTTCCACCAGCCAACCGCTTCAATTGGAATCACACTCTTGCCATTCTCCCATCGCAGAGTGGCGGAATCCGACTTCTCCAAATCCACGACAGATTACGCAATTTTCAAACCAGCAGCTTGCGCATCCTTCTGAAATGTAATGTTGCTACCACGATGGAGCGCCCCTCGCAGATAATTAAGCTCAAAATTCGTGGTTCTTCCTCAATTCAGACACAAGTGGCGCAGTCGAGGCTACAGTTGGCGTAGCTTGAGGTCGAATGAGTGACGATGCTCATCAATGCTTCAAAATTTGTGGAGGTGTGAAGCTGAGCTACTTCTAGTTTTCATTAAGAATGAATGTATATGTTTGTTAATGGATGTTAAGTGGCATCGAAGGGATGATTATAGTAACTCTCTGCTGGCCTTTTCTACGAAATCATAATTAAATGTTTTATGAATATTACATTAATTATTTAAGCATCCAATATATTACTACCTTCATATTCCGATTCTCTATTAATTTATTTTTCTTCTGCACACACAATGTACTGTAATTTTTCATTTCTAGTACAACTTTAGTATAAAAAATAATTTAAACTTATAAAAACAGTAAATAATAAATTTTAAAAAATAAAAATAAATAAAAAAACGCACAAACACACAAATACAGCACGGTGTTGAATTAAAATCAAATTAAAACTTTTCATGTGAATTGAAGTTTAACAAGTATGACAAGCATTTATTAAAAAATACAATAATGCTGATTGATTTTCTGAAACTCTCGTAATTCAATAAAGCATGTGTTAATGTTGCTGTCGTAAAAAATCAAATCTGGAAATGGATGAATTATATTCTTATGTTACAGATAACACATCATTTAATTAAAAAACATACAACTTCCGTTATAATTACAAGAAAACAATGCTTAGACTTGTACTTCACATGCATAATTACAATTATTGATATTTAAAAAGTATGTATACATATATATATATATATATATATATATATATTACTCTCTAGTAAATCAACAAAGCATCTGGCGTTTTTGAGCTATTATTACACCCTGTAACTTTTTAGTATAAATAACATATTTATTGTCAGAGGATTTTCAGAAACTATGAATGTTAAATAATTACATGATCTTTTTGGGAAAACAAGATTCATAAATGAATTTGAGACAAGGTTAGAACATACAAAAAACTTAAAGTATCATATTACTACAATGTTCAGGGTTTTCTAAACTTTTATTTGACCAAAAAAATCGTTTAGTGCTTGATATATATTCACCACTCTTTTATATCTAAATAGCAAATAGAAACCTTCGGTATTACTATTTTTCTGTATTATAATTTATGCTCAATGTTTAGTTCGTTGGACTTTTTTCTTTTCTTCCTTTCTTCCTTAATTTATTTTCAAAATTATAATTACTCTGTGTTAGAGACGAAATTGCTCAATTTTTTTCACCTACCTATATACATATATATATATATATATATATTCATATATATAAGCTGGCTAATTTTTTCAAAAAAGAAAATAACAGAAATTAGATTTGAAATCAATCCAAATTACAATATCTTGTGAATGTCAATACTTCTAACCATCAATCAAGATATTCTCGTATAAACAAAAATGTCATGATATCCAGTTAGAAAAGTAAACAAATTATTTAAAATCTGTGAAGGTCTGGAATAAAAAAAATATAAAACATTAAACCACTATTAAGTACACACATTCCAAAGCTCATTTGGTATACATAACTAAAAAAACCCCATAAATTTGAACATATATATCTATATAAATATATATAAAATGTCATGGAAAACACATCAAGCAAGATATATCTTCCAGATAGTAAACACGAGAATTATAGAAGCACTGATTAGCGATGGGTAGAAAAGGATGGGGAGGAGGGGTGAAAAGGGAGCAAGGAGGGGTCTTCAAGAGAGCGAAAGCCACCTGCTCTCTTGAAGACCCCCCCCCCCCCCCCCCATCTTCGCACCTTCGCTCCTCCTTCGCCCTCTCCAACGCTGCAGCCTCTCGCGCAATTTGCCCACAGGCTGTCGCCCACCTGCCCGTCGCGCCGGTTCTCGCTGCTCGATCCACTCGTGGCTTTGTTTCAGGGGGGGATGGGAACGATAAGGGAACGGAAGGGAGCGGGAGTTCCCTGATCCAGGAGGGCTGGAGAGGAGGAGAGAGCGGCAGGGGAGGGAGGGCTGGCTGGCTAGGTGGTGGTCAGTGCTTGTGAGGCCGGGGTGAGAAATGGTTTGTTTGTTTGTTTTGTTTTGTTGTTGCGGCTGGCTTCAGATGCTGCTGTTGCAAGGTGCTTCGGTGTAGCTTTGTGGAGCGCCATGGCCCCGCTCTCTTGGTGAAACCCTAGGCATTGCGGGACATGGAGGTGGGCCGGGTTATTGTGGTGATGATCCAGGGCAGCGAGGTCTGGGGTTGGGGTTTCATTGTGAGGTGAGGAGAGGTGAGGCGGGCGCAGCAGCTCCAGGAGGGAAGCGGAGGGCGGAGGGCGGGGGATTGGTGAGTCGGAAGGAAGGTTGAGAGGGATGGAGCGGGGAGGGGAGGTAGAATACGGGGGGATGATGGAGATGGGGGATTTCATGTCGGAGAACGACGACGGGGAGGGGCTGATGATGCAGGACGGTGAGGAGACGAGCGACGAGGAGATGGACGTTGATGAGTTGGAGAAGAGGATGTGGCGCGACAAGATACGGTTGAAGAGGATCAAAGAGCTTCGAAAGGATAGGGAGATGCGGGGCGGGGTAGGTGGCGATGGGAGGCACGGAAGTGTTGGAGATGGCGAGAGAGGGGGAGTGATGACGAAGCAGCACAAGCAGAGCCAGGAGCAGGCTAGGCGGAAGAAGATGAGTCGGGCGCAAGACGGAATTCTCAAGTATATGTTAAAGATGATGGAGGTTTGTCAGGCGCAGGGATTCGTTTACGGGATTATCCCGGAAAAGGGAAAGCCTGTGAGTGGAGCGTCGGACAACATTCGTGCATGGTGGAAAGAGAAGGTGAGATTTGATCGGAATGGGCCTGCTGCGATCGCCAAGTACCAGGCAGATCATGCTCTGCCGGGTAAGCCTAAAGGTAACGTCAGTACAGCTCCTACTCCTCACACTTTGCAGGAGCTTCAGGATACGACGCTAGGTTCGTTGCTGAGTGCACTGATGCAACATTGTGATCCTCCTCAACGGAGGTATCCCTTGGAAAAGGGGGTGCCACCGCCGTGGTGGCCATCCGGAGAGGAGGAATGGTGGCCTCAGCTAGGATTGCCTAAGGGGCAAGGAGCGCCACCATATAAAAAGCCCCATGACCTGAAGAAGGCCTGGAAAGTTGGTGTTCTTACTGCCGTCATCAAGCACATGTCTCCGGACATTGCAAAGATTCGCAAGCTTGTTCGACAGTCGAAGTGTTTACAGGATAAGATGACCGCCAAGGAAAGTGCCACATGGCTGTCGGTGTTGAACCAGGAGGAAGGGCTTGCTCGGCAGCAGAGCGGGGCAGGAGGTAGCGTAGGCACTCCTGGGTACCAGAATGGTGGTGGTGTTGCCGGGAACAGTTCAAATGAGTTTGACGTGGATGGAGTAAATGATTCTCCTGCAGGTCTCTCGGGGAGTGACGAAGGTCAGCATGTGGAAACGGATGATTACGAGCCCTTTGCGGGCAGCCGACCTGCCTTTTCTGCGGCCAAGGGTGGCGCGGACAGGGATTCTGATTCCTTGGACTCGGTATATGATAAGTCATCGATTAAATTGCAAGATGGGGATGTGGTGGATGATGGGAGGAAGAAAAGGTCATCTGGCGAAGCTCAAAGTATGGAGCAGCGGGTTTATATGTGCCCCCATACTAATTGCAAGCACAGCGAATGGCGGAATGCATTTGTGGATCGAGAGCTTCGCAACATGCACCAATCGTCGTGCATGTTTAGGCCTGTTGCCCCTGCTTCCGGAAATAATAGCATGTACTCTGGGAATTCGCAGGCTCAGGGGCTGAGTGGTGATGGACTTTACCAATTCGGAGGAATGGCTGGTAGTCACGTGGGAGTGGCGCATGCGGGGGCAAGCTACGCTCCTATCACACTTCCTGTACCCGTTCAAAATATGTCTTCAATGCCAAATTTGCAAAACATGCAAGGTGGTAATGGCGATCGCCAACCAATCCATGATTTGTTTGCTACTTTGTACGGGGCTGATGGAATGCATCCTGGAGACGGGCGACACAGTGGTATTGACGGGTCTGAGATCAATAACGGCCTTCTAGCAATTGAAAACTGTATGGTGAATCATCAGCAGCGACAGATGGAGACCACAGACTTTGTGGCCGATGATAACATGTTTGGGCAGAGTTTCGGTGAGGGTCCAAATGTAGCGGATGTTAGTTTGGAGAATCAGGGCTGTTTGCCGAAGGATGGTAAGGTTTTTGAGCACACGTTCGATCATCATCAAGGTGTCGAGCTACCATCAGAGTACAACTTTAGCACTCCATTTGATATAGGAATTGAGCCCTCTGTGCCAATGGGGCCTGCCTCCATAGATCATTTACTTGAGGAGGACTTCATATGGTATTTCGGTGCATAGAAGTCTACCAACTGAAGGCACATGATTGTGATCTTCGCTTTGGAAGCTGGAGTGAGGGACTAGATTGAGATCTAGATAGGGTTTAGCTGGTGCTGTCTAAAGGCAGCACATCAGAATGTATATCATAGCAAGTGCTCTGAGTTGGAGCTGGGAGTTTTCTTCGAGCCTGGTGGAGCGGCCTGTGTTGCGAAAGTGGGGAACACAGGCTGTTGATAAGTTTGTCGGGATAGTGAAAAGGAAAGAGAGGCGATGGTCTTTTAATGTTCGCGGATGCAATGGACGCCAAGGCGGGTGAAGAGCATTATCCTGAAAAGTGCTGGTCAAGGAGGCGCAGATGGGCATGTGTTTCTGTATGATAGAGCAAGCGCGCTCTCATTCTTGTACTATATATCATCATTGGTATCTACATTGGAGTGGAAAGGGACTCAGTCCTAGTGCTGGAAAACGACTTGTTATCCGATGTGGGTGCTGCATCCTGCAACCTTTGGCAGCCTTTAGTGGGATGTAACATAATCTCGTATTTAATGCAAGCGTGGGTGCTTCTTTAATGTCATTTACATTAGGTCTGTCAGTCGTGTTCAACTTATACGGAGAGTAGTTTAATTTTCTTGACACATCATTCAGACCTTATTTGTGCTTTTCATTCTATTGATATGTTTGACGAGTCTCTTGAGAAATGCTCCAAGCCTAAGGGTTGGCCTCTGGTCTAAACCTGGGCTCTGTTAGGTTATGTTTCTTTAGAGTTACCCTCGTGTCCAGGTACGGAGAGACGACGTTTACCGAGGTACGTGTTTGCTGCGATTTCTTTTCTTCCGCGTGCATGCTTGTAGGTGGAGTTGGGGATAAAGCTCGGAAATCTGTTACGAAACTTAGATTACTTTGGTAAAGAAGATTTCTATTTATAAATTGTATATTGTTTAAGCCATGTTCAGCATTGAAATTGCCAGATGTTTCCTATGGGGAAGTCTCGTGCAATGACTCTGCTATACAGGATTCTCTCGTATTTGGGCCAGGATGTGCGGAGTTGGCGCGATGTTTTGACACTAATCCCCTCTCTTTCTCCTTGCATGAAACAGTGTAGACTCCTTTTGATTATGTGAGTGTTGTCAAAGTTTGCAACTGCCGTTTCTGATGGGGATAGCGTATTCTTTTTTGATACTCTACGTTTTTCTGACGCCTTATACCACTGAACGTCAATCACCACTCTCATTTAGTGTTGGGATTCCTCCCGAAGCACCCTTCAAAATGATATCTGACTCTGGAATCCTCTAGAATCAAGTTTATCAAAGACGTTCATTTTAGGGTTGCTACCTATTGGAGGTGAGTCCAGGTGTACTTGAAGAGTCATAACAAGGTTGTTTTGTAATAGGAAAACAATGTGTATAATTTAATGCCGACATCAATGGATAAATCACACTCACGCCTTAAATCAACGTTTTACAGATAAATCTGTACAATCTAAAAAAAACTTTTAAGGAACATTCCTTAAAAGTATTTTTTAGATTGTACAGATTTATGTTTTAAATGTATTCGCTTTTTCAAAAAACTCATATATTTTCAAAATCAATCAAAGTAAATTCGTTGTGTTTATTTACTATATACGTGTAGATATAATTTTGAATTAAAGTGATGATATTCCCACATATTTAAATTATTCTTAACTGAATAGGTGATTATTTTATATTATTGTGAAAAGGATATATTGTATTCTCTTTTTCATAATACTCATAATAATTAAAAAAGATGAGTAGAATCTTTAAACATTTTAAAGTCATCGTAACTTTATAAATATGTTATTATATAAAATAAAATGAATAAATAAATAAAGGCACTTTGATACAATTATTTTATTATTTGATTTAATCTTTTGGTATAAACCAACTTAATATGAAAAATTGTTAAGAAGTCACTTTTAAACAATTGACATTTCTAACAGAATATATTTTTTTTTACTATTTTTTTATTAAACTATGATTTTTTATAACACCTTCAAACAATGTGCATTCTAAATTTTATTTTTGTAAAGACATAAATAGCTTTTATTTTATTTGATTATAAGTTCTTAATCTCAACAATATGTGAAAAAATTTTAAAGATTTTTCTTTTTTCTTTGGTATTAAAATCACAAAGTATTGTATTGCTTACATATATTGTTATACCAAATCTATTATAAATTCTTTCTTAGAACTTTAAAAATCAAAACAAAAATTACTTAGCAACTATCCATATGAAATATATGTATATGTTTAATAAAAATTATTATTATTATTATTATTATTATTTAAAATATATTTGATTTGATTTGATTACATCAACATGTTGGTTGTGATTTATTTTAGATTCTAAACTAACTAATTTAGAAATATTTCCTAGTACTAATTGAAAATATATATGTATTATTATTTTAATAGCTTATTTTCCTAGTACTAATTATTAATATATATGTATTATTATTTTAATATGTTATTAAATTCAATAATTTATATTTTGTGACAATTATAATATACATTTATATAATACATTTAATGAGTATTTCCAATAATTTTGACACTATTTCTTCAATTTTTTTGTAAAAGTCATTGTTATGAGTCAGCCTTACACAAATTTGAATTATTTATGTCATGGGGAAAAAAATGAATTACACCTCATCTTATTCATTTTTTTTCCATCTCTATATCCTTTTGGCACATTTTTTTTAAGTTCAAAACCAACTAAGAGAAGATTACCAATTTCAATCAATCAGAAGTTTAGAAAGTTGTAGCTGTCTTCTTCTCTCCTAAGCCTAAATAATTTTTAATATGATTACTAAATATTAAAGTCTTTGTGAAATTTCCTAGATTTTAACTAATACTTGTAATCAAATTCAATCTAGAGAAAGTTTTGAGAAAATTTGAAAAAACCATGACACAAGTTTTGGTTGCATTATATATATATATATATATATATATATATATATAATTGTAGATACATCATTTTTGAATAAGATTTTCTTTCCTTTCCCCAAGACATTGCTTAAGAATGATTAAATGATAACCGATATTTTTTTATATTATCATGTGGTGCAGAATTTTCCAAAGTGATAATACTACAAACAAACACTCAAGAATTAAATGATGTGATAACATTATGAATCCTCTTACGAGAATAAGAATCCAATCCCAAATTTAATAAAACCAACCTGTTCACTTCAAAACGTAACACTTCAGCTGTGCGGGGAGCAAACCCAGAAAATGAAACAATTAAAAACTTAATTTTTGGGGACATCTGTTTTGAATTTTGAGTTCATGTGTTGTGTTGGAACCAGCTGATCATGACAGAGATTTTAAAATGTTATTTGCAAAGATAGAAAATAGAATCTACACAACACTCTGCAGTGAGGCGTCAAAATGGGTCCCACTTTAGCACTTCATGTACAGCATGAAAGGCTAAATGGTGGGCCTGAGGTCGCCCTAATTCACCGCATTTTATTCCAGCTGCCACAATCACCTAAATCTGAGGCGGCACTGAACCTTAAGCACTGCTTTTTTGGAGAAGTTGTAGCCTAAATAACAATCATTGGTCATAATATTTCTACCGTGTCAAAAGTATGTCTTGTTGTGAAATCACCACCCTTAATTATCACATGAAATGCAACAACTCAAATACTTTTTTGTCATTTACTGCTGGTGCTCATTCATTTTAGTTCAGAATAGCTTGGAAGTAGAAAGTCGACTGGGGACCAGTTCCTGACCATGTGTCGTTCCATCGCCACAGTGCAACTGTTCACAATGCTTCATTGCGCAGACAATATCATAATTTTGTTAACCTTTCAGTTTGCAAAGAAGTAAAGACGTTGTGTTCATGCACAGGTTGTGTTGCTGGTGTTGCTCTTGCACGCGCAGTTACTTACACGTGACAGAATTCGCTTGGCATGAGAAGTTCTCAACAATCCACCAGAAATTGGACTTGTAGGTTAAAGGCTGACATGGCACGATCCCATACCTGTCTCACACCGCACATTATCGCTTTCGACATCGACGCCGAATTCTTCGTCTGCGCACCCATTTTCTTTCTTCGGAGATGACCCTGCTGCCACTGCAAAACTATCTTCATTGGTCCATGAGCCACCCAAAAGCTGGTTCGCGATGCTAAAGCGGGAGTCGTCATGGCAGCGACGAGCCAAGAGACAGCAAAGTGGGCAGAACTAGCTTCAGGTTCCACCGGAGTCTTTAACTTTTGGTATGTTTAGAAATTGCCACGTTTAAGTATTTAACAGGATAGCTCTAGCTTATCTTCTCTAGGTTTTCCAGGTAATAGCACACATTAAAAACTGCAAGGTTGTAGTGAAAGGCGAGGTGGGTGTCACCTACCTTAAAGCAGTCTAGTTCCAAGCAATGTAATCAGCCGCTCTTGTTCATAGACCACTGTAGGTGTTTGTAACTTTTACCGCTCTCTTCGAAGTTGTTTCTGTCAAGCAACTTACAAAATATTCGAGGTAGTATTAGTAAGATACAATGAATCACTGCCACTGCAGCACAAGATTCTTGATGTTGAAACTGCTCTGTACCTGCCGCCAGAAATGCAATACCAGTAGTATGTGAAGATGTCACATTTGATGATTCCGAATGGTTTCCGAAGTAATTCTTGTTGAAGGGGTCGCCGTGCTCTTTACGTAACCTTGCAGTTTGTTGATTGTGGCATGGTGGGTCAACGATGATTTTAATTGACTTCTTTAATGGGCAGCCTGTGTGCGATCTATTCGTCAACGACTTGGAAGACAAGATGCCAAACTACTTATATTTTTAGTAGGTAATTTCATTTTGTAGGCGGAGCTGTCAAGTAAGAATATCGCGTCGAATTGTTCACTTGCTTGAAAAGAACGATGCATCAATCACATACATTCAAAACGAATACATATTATTTTGCTGCATCGTATCACATGAATATTTATAATATTTAGTGCTAGAAAAACTATGTATGCTACAAACACATATGTGTGGATGTGTATCAACGTACTTTTTTGTAGATCTTTAAACTATTCAAACCCCAAAAGAGATTACAATTGATGACGAGGTTTATTAGAATATTTAATTCCTAGAAAATCCAGTTTCAACAAGTAGTGGCTACTCGAAGTCTTACTTACTTACATATGCTAATCAGATTACGAAGTATTACTTACTTTCATAAAGCTGAAAGAATAAGGCTTATTGACGAAATAAAAACCACCACATGTGGTTCAGTCTTCTACCATGTCACGACCTCAGACTATGTTTTTCTGTTATTTTAATAAAGACTAAGTTACATACTCTAATTATCCAATAGGCTTACCACATCGGATCCATTCAAGATCAAGCAAGAATTACATAATGGAAAATGGAATTGTAATTAGCTCGTCGATGACACTCAAGAGATCAATAATAAATAAAAGAATTACATGAATATCATAGATCGTAATTCTTCAAAGAATTAATCCACATGAACGAACCAGAAGCCGCTGTTCTAACGGCGTGGGAGAGTGCACTCCGGCGGGGGCACGGGGAATCGCTTAGTGTCGATGCAGTAGTCGTAAATGCAGTGGTCCTTCATGACCTGATCCATGAAAGCGAGGCGGTCCGCAGGCAGGGAGTGGAAGTAGGGTTGGTTCCACCAGTTGTCTGGCAACAACACACAAAACGAAAAACCTCGTGTCGGTGAAACCAACAACGTCGAACTTAAAAACTTGAGAGGAGTATCTGCCGAAGTGGACAGTGAAACTCACACAGCCACGAGAAGGTTTCGTGATTCAAACTTACCTGCTTCTGGCCTAGCGCATGGAGAGGCCATAATGCTGGCCGGATCAACCACGCAGGCATCGATAATGATATCCTTATAACGGACGTTGAATGGGGAGTGGGACCAGTCAATCTTGTCCAGTCCCCCTCGGGTAGCCCAGCTGGAGCCATCGAAGATGCTCATGTACACCTGCATGGCCTTGTCGCTGCGCAAATAGGGCACTCCTTGGTCTTCGTAGTTCTGGAAGATCCTGATCAAAACCTCGTCCACGTACATTCTGCAAACAGAAACTCGGAAGATGAGATCTCCGATGCTGCACCCTTGCCTCCAGTGCAACAGTTGCGAGAGTAAAATATGACTCGCCGTATTTAACACTGCTGGTTGCGATTCTAGTGTGCGACCATGCATTATGGATATTCCTCGTGATGTGTGCAGAGATGGGGGACCTACGAGACTGTTTTATGGTTCCAGATGACGCTGTAGTAGTGGAAATCTTCAGTTGGATCAAACCAGAGACTGATTCGCTGCTCCCGATTGCCGACACCAGCAGCAAAAATGTTAGTCTGAAGGACGATTTCGTTGTTTCCGGGCTGGGTGTTGGTCTTGTTGCCGAGGAATTCAAAGTCGACTTCGCTATGGTCGGGTCCAGGTGAGGCGAGCTGCAAAAATATGGGAATCGAAGATGTTCATCAAGTCGACCAAAGCCAAGGTAGGGACTATGTCGTTAATTTTCAGATGTAATTTTCATTCGACCTGCTTTGAAACTGCACCCTGGAGTGTGGGTGTCCACGGAATAGAACGTCACGGTTCGACTTCCATACCTAAGTTAGATGTCGCTGTAATTGAAATAACATAGAAACCTCACCAAGGTCTATGGTGAGATCGTCGCGCGTTTCGGAGGGATGAATACATGTATAAATATTTCTTATTGAGTAAAATAGTGTAAAGAATGGAAATATCTGTTGTTCTTAAAAAAATACTCACATATAAAGTGGCAACAGTTCCGCTGCTATCACCCCTCGGCAACCTCACCGACGCTCTGAAGTACCCGCAGTAATATTTGGTTGTGGTCGTGATCGTGACCCCTGCATCAAGTACAACAACAGAATAAAATCAGAAAAATAAACATCAACCTCTGCTGCTCTACTATATATATATATATATATATATATATGAAAGCGGGCATTCTAAGTACTATGTAAACGCTTTCAGATTATATCACAGCACACATTGATGAAGATCGAAGTCCTTGGTCACAAAAACCCATTATGCAATGCCTCTAGTCCACCAGCAAGAACCCTGCAATACGGTCTACATTTCATTCTAATGCAAAGGGTGCCATCGCCACAAGATCTCAACAACTACACAATGCCACCGATGATTAAGGTGTCCAGTGTGAATTCGTAGCTTCCATCGCATCCTTTCTTCTTGACAGCTCAGAAACCAATAGGAAGAGAACAACCAATACCTTCGGACACATTGTCGACCTTGTTGAGAGACAGCTGCACTTCATCTCCATAGGCGCCCGCATTGTGCTCGTTCCATACTGCAACGAGGTTTTCCTTGAAAGAGGAGCTTGACAACGGGACATACTGGACGGTCTCCTGAGCTGAACCACTGCAACTGAACGAGATAAGAGTCACCAGTAATAAAACTAAGGCGGGTTTCGCGTTAGCCATCGCGTCACCTCCCAGCTCTCTCTAGAAACCAGGTCACAATGCAATGTAGCTCAATTCACAACACACAGCTTTACGACCTCATCAATCTTTCGAATCAAACACAATGGCTCTTACGCAGCGAGCGTGAGCGCCGCGGGGCAGTGGGACGATCACTGCAATTGTGCACGGAGTGTCAAAACCGCGATGATACACTCCCGCCAGTCAGACCCACCACCAACTACGCACTACACCCGAGGGCGTGTACTCCGGCCACTCATAAAGGTCCCGAAGCGGAAGAAGGGCATCAAACATGGGCGGGACGAACTTTCCACGGCGTCTCCGAAACCCGTCACTCGACTGTCATGAAGGGGGAGGGAAGCTGCAGTATTCATCTACGATCTTCTTCCAGCTGCTTCACCACCGCGCATTTCGTCATACTCGAGGATACGGCACTCCGCAGATTTCGCCGGCCATTCCTGCAGTGCACTTTCGACTCAGGTCGCCGAGGACTTCACGGCATGAAGTCCTTTGTGAAAAGTCAATCCCATCGGTGACGATGTGCATCATCGCCAGCGCCGGCGTGGAATACTTCGCTGGGCGACACGGCAGCGGCGACACACCAGTCCCGTCATGAAGGGTTTTCTAGTTACGGACTGACTGTGAGCAGTGAGATACCGACGTGACGGTGCGTGCCGGATTCTTCCAACCGCGGCATAAATACTGATCGGGAGCTCTCGCGCTGCGAAGCAATTCGCCGCAGGTGGCGCCTGTCGACGCCCTGACGGTGCCGTTCTGCGGTCTAGGAAAAAGTATCGCCGCCGTATAAAGTTAACCCTCTCATCTTTAAAGTTCTGTTGTGTCAGTCCTGAGTTTGGAATAATGTGGACTGAAAAACAAAACAAAACAAAATAAAATAAAAATGTTGTTAATTTACCGTGGGATTTTTTTATAGTTGCGGTGAAGTTTTCTGTAGTAGCTGGAAAGGAGTTGGTGGTTGTTCGGGGTTGAATGGAAGACCATGTCTCACTTTTTAGGGTTTGACTTTTGGTTTACATTTTGTTGTAGGAATGCGTTTGTAGAGTTGAATGCGGTGAATGAATGACTGACTGACAGAGAAACATGGGTTTGATTAAAGAAATAGATGTGGAATTATTTTTTTGTGTTTGAGTCCGCATGCTTGCCTGTAAGTTGTTCTTTGTTAAGGGGGAAAATACTTTCAGTGAACATGGAAGTGCAGTTGATAACAAATGATAGCATTTTGTTGCATGACCAAGACCTTTATATTCTACCTTATTGACAAGTGGATCATTTTAAGTATCTACCATTTAATAATAAACTCACTATTCTATGAGCCTGTAGAATCCATATCCACAGGTCCTACAACATTATCCACCAGTAATTTAAAATAATCTCACTATTTTATGAACGTTTAGAACCCACTTCTTCTAGTCCTAAAGCTTTATCAAATCGGAATTATTCATTCTTGGAAGGACAACCTGACACGATTTATTCCAAAAGAGTTACATACAAATTTAGCACTTGAAACCAGGAATTGTTTCATTAGAAGTATTTTTAGGGCAGAAAATGTTATCCTTATTCCAGTGTGCAAGAATCAAAAAGCATCTCAAGTCATGTTTAAGACATGCAATTAAAATTAATCACGTGTTGTTAAATTTTGAATGAAGAGTCCACACATTGATCTGTAGCCCAATTTGTTTTGGTGATTTGAAATACTCAAATACTCCAGAATGGGATGTAGTTTTTTGTCAAATCATTCACAATGTAGTTTTTATTCTTCTTGTCAACACTCGTTGCATTCAACATTTTTTTAATAGAAATAATTGTCATCACATGGTTGATTGTAAACATCTGCGCAAACATTCTTGTAGTTTTACTAATTGATTATTACATATAATTGCATTTAAATTCTGAATTAACCTTTCTACAAATCCAGCACAATGCACACTAGTTTTGAGTACTTCGTGAACAGAATAGGAGAGGGTTGGAATAGAGAAATCAGAACCTGAAACACTATTTTATCTGCTTTGCAAATGAGAACATGTTTGTCTGAGATGTCAGAATCGCTGTCATCAAGTCACTATTGTTGCAAATAGAACTATGGATTTACATTCCTCAGGTCACATTTGTCGCAAATAGACCCATTGCACAAAATAAAGAAGAGAATGAAACAATGACTACTAGAGTCTTGACATCCCAATCAAGGAGCGCAATGAAAGGAGCAATTTAATCTACTCATATAGTGAGTTAAATGGTTTAGCATTGCACATTGTGAAATATCATCTACTTGCAAGTAGTTGTAGTATTTCATCTACCTAAAGTATATTTGTTTTATGGTTTGTTATTTTATTGGTCATCCATGATTTGTTTTATTTTTTGAGAAAATGTCTGTTCAGTTTTCTTGGATTTCGGATTTCTTAATAAGGTATGTTGTAAAATATTTTATTATATGTTTCAAAACCTAATCACATTAATTTTTATGTATTTATTTTTGTTTGCCAATTGATGGCTTTTGCATTCTACTATAGTCCATAAATAATTGAATTAAAGTAATAACCAAATCACATTGAATCTTTTGCTGTTTTTAGTTCTAAAATTTTGACAATTTTTTCTTGTGCCAATGTTATTGTTTTTTAATAAACTTTCATATTTTAGTTCCAAAAAGGTTTATTTTAAAAAATTAAGCGATGAAAATTTAAATTCTTGTATTCTTATCATACTTATAAAATTTTGTAAAGAATTATTTCTACTAGTTGAGAGTAAAAAACATTTATAAGGTTTTTTTTTTTTTATATTTTTTATTTTATTTTGTTGAATTTAAATTCTCTTTGCATTAAATTCAATATCTCTAATTCAAATAATATACATTAACATCACTTCTTTATTTTGCTTCTAGTTTGAACAATAAATTTGGATAGTCAATTGTATACCATTTGGTTGGTACTAAATTTCAATCTATTTGATAAGAACTGATATTTTATTCTTAATATTGTTTTGTATGATATGATGTTTTTTTTATCTAATTTATAATTATAGAAAATTACATAAAAATAATGGATTTCTAGGCTTTTTAGAAAATTTTAGGATATTCAAAAAACATATTGTTTTGTTTTACCAAAAAGCCATAATTTTAAAAATATTGTTTTATGCTTATATAAATCACTTGCAAATAGTTACAGTCTTATGTGTAACAATTGATAAAATAAAATAAAGAAAATTTGGTTGATACTTTTTCTTCCTAAAAGAAACTTATAGGCTTAATATTTATTTGGTAAAGATTTTTGTTTGTAAAGATTGCATATATATGCTAGAATACAACATTCTTTAATTCAAAAAATATCATTTTATATTAATAATGGTTATCAATCTTAAATTTGTGTTTTGAATTTTTAGTATATGATTTAACATAAATTACTAGAGATTCTCATATTAATAAAAATAGAACTAAAAGAAGCCTAAGAACATTATTTATTCAATAATAGTAATATTTTTCACAAATATATATTTTAGTTAAATAAGTAGATATAGAAATATTTTAAGTAGAAAACATCTTTCTTAAGAAACATCAAAGAAATTATTTAGATGTGAATTAGATTTATAGATATACTATGAAGCTACAAAAGTATTTCTTAGAGATATTTTATTTTCAGAAAGATCCAATAGAAGTATCTCATAACTTAAACATTTAACCAACAAGTATTATGGCCCTCAAGAAATTTGTACAAAGTCTTTTTATTAGCTAAATACATAAATATTAAGCTTAATAAATAGCTTGATAAGTCTATTTAGATCTATGTTCTTGGCATAAGTTACAATTATTTTTTTGTAATATTTAGATCCATCAACCTTAAAATGAATTAGATAAATTTAAGCTTGAACAATTTTCAAATTTAAAATAAAATTAGTCCAATCCTTTAATTGGCTACAATTAATATAGGTGCTTAATCATTATTTCCACCTTTATGCTTTTTTTATAAATTAAATTTCACAAATTATTAACTTTCCTAAGAAAGAAGAAATTACTACAACATTCTATTGTAGTAGTGTATAATACAAAAATTTAATGTGAAAGAAGTCTTTGATTTGAAGTAATATAATATTTGCTGGATATTATGTAAGTATATCACTATTATATGAGAGCCAATTTACAAGATAATTCAATTGGAATATATTGTATAATAGTATAGACATGATATTAATAAATCTACATGATATTTATTAAAGAATCTTGAAAAAAATTATTAGACATGATTTGCATTTTCATCGACATCTTTTCATATCAAAGACTATTAATTGATGTTATAACCTTAAGATAATATACAGTAAAGATAAAAATAAACTTTGATATTCTCTGTTATAGTTGTATATATGTATGTGTATATGTATGTATATATATATATATATATATAGTACTACAACCTCATAATGAATCATCAATATTTGATAATATTGTTAGAGATTGGTCTTGAATTTGATGACATTTCTAATGTTAAATTAAAAAGTAGTTATAAAGATCTCAACTATGAATTTTTAATTTAGTTGACTTTTCATTTGGACATAGAATATTAGTGGCTAAATAGACCCATCATCCAGTTGTATATAAAGTATACATTAATTATTGTGGAAAATTTTGTTATAATATATTTTAGACATTATCAAATTGTGATTTATTTATTTATTTTATTTCTTTTTATTATAGAACTTGTTTATTAAAGAAGATATATTGTAATCAAAAATAAAAATAAAATTATAATAAATTATAATAAATGAATATATATAGAAATAGACTAGATGCAAAAAAAAATATAAAGCATTATAAAAGAAGATATTTAGACAAATATTAAATTTGCAAGTACCTTTTCATGTACTTCTTACATAATTTCTTTGTTAACCAATATACATAGAGGCAAAAATAAAATTATATTCTATATTATTTATGTTATTTACACTCATATTTCAATTCAATATTTATTTTTTAATATTAGATAAATTTTATTTTTTATATTATATAATTATAAAATTATATTATTTTCTCTCTTTTTTTTAAAACAAGTCTATGTAAATTATCATTCTTTGTGGTCTACTTTGTATTATTTTTTTCTCTTAAAAAATTTATTTCTAAGAACCATCTCTTAAAATGAACCCTATTTTAGGAAACAATACTACTCATGCTACATGAAAAAAATATGCAATCTATATCATCATTTTTTTTTTTTTTTTTTTTAAATTGATTTTATATAGGTGGAAATCAAGTCAATATAGCTTCTTCCTTTGAGCTAATCAAAAGATTTAAAAGTTGAAACCTCTCACCTTATCCTCTAAGCATAAAGACCATTTTAGTTATTGCACTCCAACTTAATTTTGTATTTTATTACCAAACATAACTAAGGATTTGGTCTTCATGTTTGAAACCTCTTCATTGAGCACATTGTCTTCTAATGTAAGACATTGTCCATAAAACAATAAATCAACAAAATAAGAAATTATTTTTAAAATAATTATTATAACAAAACAATTTTGAAACCACATAAAGTAGTTGTTGGGTTTTAAATGGAAAACTATCTTTCTTGTGTAGCTCTATTCACATTTATTTCTATCTTATATCAAGTCTGTGATTGGACAAGAAGAACTAGTTATGTTACACAATGTAGGACAAATTTTCCAATATCCTATATTAGAAGGGTGTATTCAAATCATCATTGAAATAAACTTTTATTTCTTTATGTTAATAGTAGTTCAACTATTTATCAGATAAATCTCATTCTATTTAGTAATATGTTTACCTCTTTTAGCTTCAAAACATGCAATAAGATTTGTAAAGAAAGATTACAATACAGTAATTTAACCCTATTTCTAGTTCTCATTCAATTCTCTACTAATTTTTTTCCACATATACAAATCAAAGAAATATCAAACACAAGTTTTGTCTACTTGAAAACTTAGAATAAAGTCTCATCACAAAATTCTTGAAAGAGATTGTAGCAAACAGCCTGAGAAGTTATCACTAAGCAAGTGAATATCGCCAGCTAAACTTTTACAAACTTTTGACTGGGCAATGACAACCACATTCGCGAGTGTGGAGGTTGGAGATTGGAGATTGGAGATTGTATTCGGTTGTCATGAGGTCCACGAGTGTGCACACAAAAAGTTATCCCAAGCCCAGTTTCAAAGACCGTCAAATACAATCTCCAATTTCAAGCACAAAAGAACAAGAAGCAGGTCTAAAGACCTCTCTAGGGTAAAAAATTGCAGAGAAAGATGTGATTAACTGAATACTAGGCACCTTCTACATTTGATTGAAAATGTTGCTCACTTCACGACACATACGTCATGTTGAGTGTGAGTGTGTGTGTTCATCTACAATCAAAGTTTAGACCCTGGCATATGTAATTTGAAGAGGTCTTTAATCAGAAATACACGCCATAGGTTACCTAGCCATTGCCTAGTAGAGAACAGAGCGAGGTTTCAAATTACTATGAGCAAAACAAGTACTTTACAGCATCTTATTCCAGCGTTACAGAAGAAAACATTGAAAGAAATCATGCACTTTCTATGTTCTACTTACTTGGTGGACTTGGTTAAAGTAATCTCACACGGATTTAGGACGGGCTTGAGTCCGGCTGAAGATAAAGATACCCCCATTGCCAAGAGCCCGCCCCACAAGCATGTTGTTGTCCAAAAATGTCAGGTTGTACCATAATCCAATAGGAGCCCTGCATGTCATCAATAACCAGGATCAATCGTGACCCTCAACATCGTAACGTGGCAAAACACAGTAATGAGGGGATGTTTAACTCAGAAAAATGTCACAGCAAACTGCATGATTACAACCATATTCTACATCAACAGCAATATTGTCGGGCATCGTTACCTTCTGGAATTTTCAGGCAGAGTCTGTAGCCCTTGCGATCCTCGGGCAAGAGGAAATCGTAGATCTAGACCGCGTAAAAACTGCAAAATCTGAGGATGGAATTCCGACGGTCAGTCCCAAAACATTGTCCATATTGAATTGCAGCAATTAAAACTAGCAGAACTTAACAATAAACCTACTAGGACTGACGTTGATAATTCTTATGTAGCAATTGGAACATATTCTGCGGTCTATACACAACTGTTGAAAAGATGTTCAGGGTTGGCAAACTCAAGGACAGATTCAGCAATGCATCTTCCATGTTGAAATGAGACTGCACCTTCAATGTTTCAACTACAAAACTTGGGATTGGTATTTCATAAGTTTATTCATGTCGGAAAGTAACCCTTAAAACATTGTTTAGAGAAATCAGTCGCAACGAACCTGTAAGTTGATAAATGTGCGAGGTAGAAGTGCCGGAGCAATGAACGATTCCAAAACTTCACTTATCTCAACCTCACTTACCCTCGCCTGAAGAACAAACATCAAGGAGATATTGGCATCAATACATTGTGATGTTCCACTATTTTCGGTGCAACTCAAAAAATTTGTCAAACTACCATGACCTAAAGTTAGTGGTTGCACAAGTGATGCACAATATGTATTTTACCCGAATTCGGAGTACTGCAAAGATCGCAAATTTCAAGATGTACCTCTTCAAATTGAAGAACTATACTGCGTGCACTAGCCACAGAGAATTTCGCTGTCACTATTAGAGTTGCACCCTCATTCTCCTGCACAGAATTACAATAATGGAATCAACAAAAACTGCTGAAAAAAGAGTTCAGTGCCAAGATCTTCGTTCGATAGTACACGATTCATGCAGGAAATGGTGGAAAGCAAGGATTTTACAAGATGGGTCGTAAACACGTCGTAAGTTCCTCATCTGAAGTTCACCATTAATCGCATGAAAACTACAATTGGTTGAATACAGGATTTTTCGATACAAGTTTCGCGAGATATCCCCACCTAGATCTAGTAATAAAGAGGATAGAAAACTAGGCACATAGAAGACGAGAAAAATCACACACCTGTAGAAGTCCTGGCACACTCCATCGCACAATATTTTCAACTACTCCACCGTCCGTTCTTCGTCTGCAGTCGAAATTCTGATACACTTGTCCAACCTGCTCCACGACAACATGGTATCATTCAGCCTCACAACACTGGAGGTCTCTTCAACGAAAATCCAATTGAAACACGACACTGCAAAATGCCACTTGTCTTCACCTCCAGGCATGGCGCGTAAAAATATGAAGGGAAGTAATTCAGCTGGGCTATCTCCAAATTTCACAGCCAAGCAGAACGACCAATTTGTCTGAACTCCTGGCTAAACTTTAACCACAGGATAGATAACCACTGCACTAATTGACAGAATCTCAAAGAAAGAAAAAGATACGAGGAAGTGGAATAGAAGAGTAGTGTATCACCTGCAGCAAAGGGAGCTGTTCAGCAGCTTGTAAGATTGAGATAACATCAGGAGCGGTCGTATACTGTAATAACCACGTCCCGTGCAGCTGGTCTAGCAGTAAAGGTGATCCTGCATTGAACGTCTCCACGCCCACCTGGCTTTCCCATGCAGATTACCCTGCGTCATGAGTTACCATCAAAGCATATCCAAACAGCTTCGCAAAGACCGCGCTGACCAATTACAATGGTTGCACAAATCCCAAAGTAACCCACCTAAGGAACAACAGGCTGCAACTGAAACTGCGTGTTTCCAGTGAACTCAAAGGATAAACAAATTCCCATATCGTAAGTCGGATACTCTGCCTCGAGTGTTGATACAGTAATAAGAAAGTAGTCGCACCTCAATTGGTTTAAAAAAACCTATAGCCCATCCAGCAGAGAAGCTACAAAATTATGGATTGATGAATACGGTGCTCCCAGCCCCCTTGAGTACTTCATTTGAACCTATCCACATGCCTAATATGCTAACATGCAATTGTCAAGTACATAACTTACCAGTGCCTCTTCTATATCTGCACGTTGCTCTGCAGTAACCTGCACACCCCTTTTGGTCTCTATCACCGCCCGAAGAAGATCCATTTTGGCCCTCTCCACCTCCTGCTCTCTGTCGTGATCCATCTGAACTTGCTCTCGTCCCTAAAGATTGCAAAAACATAATAAAAAAAAAACGGAACAGCAAACAGCACAAGGAATCGTAAACATAGCACGCGAAGGCAAAGCCGATTTATAAAAAAACAAAAACAAAAACAAAACGATCACAATACCTCCGCAATTGCTCCCAGAGCGTCAAAAGTCCTTGAACGCGCCGGCTGCACAGAATCCCACCCATTCTGGATTCTCACCAACGGGAACCCACCACAATCTCGAAGACAATGCGCTAATTTGCGGCTTAGACACCGCGGAGCCGCTTCAACCCGCAGCCCAGCTCCCTGGCTGCACTTCTGTTTCTGCTTCTTCTTCTTCGCCTTTTCCAGAGAGTGAGCAACACTGCAGGGAAGAGGGTGCAGCAGCCAGGGTCCTCCTCCTCCTCCTCGCAGAACTGTCGACATGATGAGGAGTAGCAAGTGACACGAAGAAGAAGAAGAAGAAGTCGAGGAGGAGAAACCAACCAACCAACCAACCCTGGCGCGAATTTACTCTCAACCCAATTGGGTTCTTGTGGATGTTGTTGCAATGGCTCTCAACCCAATCCGATTGGGATGGTGGTGTTGGCGTTGGTGTTGTAGCTGGGTGGGCTTCAGTTCGGAGACGGCGGCGATGGCGGAGTCAAGCGAGAGCCCTTCAAAACCATAACCATGTGCAACTCAACTCTCTCCACTCTTCCTCCTCCTCCTCTGGCACGGATTTGGGGGCCCCCGCGGTTCCAGGGACTCCTTTTTGCCTGGTCTTAGATGAGACACCGCGCCCGCCCTCATGGCCGTGCATGAAATGGTTAGGAAGCCTACAACGCAAAAGTGTAATGGAAAAAGGGAAAAGTGTGTGTGTGTGAGAGAGTGTGTGAGCAAATGGGCAATAAGATGTGGGATACTAGTGGTGAATGACATTAGAGTAACATATCAACCATGGAAACAACAATAACAATAATAATTAACACACACACACACACTTATTGGGTAAATCCATCCTCTTTATAATATATATATATATATATATATATATATATATAATCCTTTCTTGTATGCAATATTGACCTTGATTGAAAAAATCTTAATGAATACAAAGGGATTGAGTAAGGAATAGGCTTGGAAGAAGAAACTTGGAAAATATGGATTCATATTCAATGGTTGATATTACTCTGAACTGAAAGATATAAAGGAGAACCTTACTTTCAACATATGATATGTTCCTTGGAAGGTTTTGATTTTCCATGTACATAGAATAAAATTAGGGGTTCAAAGTAAATAAACAAGAATTTGTAAAAATATCATATTAAAGAACATCAACTTGATAATCATGTATGTGGTGCTAATTCTGATATATGAAAAGCTGATTGTTAAAGATATATTTCTATTAATTATACAAGGTAGCCAAATCACAGTATAATTATATTTTTGGTGGATGTAACTGTATTTAGTTACTATTAAAGTTCCTTTAAATTTAGATAAAATATAGAGATATAATCAAAGCTTGAAAATTGAAACAGAAAAATACTCTATTCAAATTTTAAAGGTCGAAAAAAAAAAAAAAAAAAAATGTTGTGTTAAACTGTTTTAATTAAAATGTAATCACCTGTGCTTCTATATAACAAAAAATTTAATATTTTACCTGTGGTCACCATCCTCAATTTGACCAAATTTTATCTTACAAACCCAGCTACACAAAGATATAAAATTTTATAAAATTGATTACAAACATTTTAACAGAAATTCTTTAAATAGAAAAAACTTCAAATCACTACAAAATAATATTTGATGCACTCTTTTGAAGAAGTTCTTTTTTAATTTACCATAGAAAACGTTGTTTTTTAAAGCAAAAAAAAATTAATAGCCTAAAAAAAAATTCAAATGTTGCAAAATTGAGCTTATTTATTATTTCAAAAATATCATTTTGGAAATATTAATTTTGATCACAAACATTTAAAAAATCATGAAATTAAAAAAAATAGAAAAAATATCCATAAAAAATAAGAAAAAGTAATTTTTGTTGTTATTTTTGTTGTTGTGTATTTTTCTTCTTTTGAAATTGGTAATTTAAAAAAATGTACTTGTCTATTTAAAAGAAATTATATTATTGTTGCTCTAAATTTTTTATATTTAATACATTAGCAAGGTTCTATTATGGATGTCTTATAAAAATATTGGTAATAAATATAAGTTTTTCATTGCAATATATATATATATATATATATATATATCTACAAGTATGCTCCAAATTGCTATATGCACACTCATTATGTCTACACACACCCAAGACCTTGGATTAACCATTAAAAGATCATAGATGTGTGTATGGACATAATGGGTGTGCATATAGCCTAAGCCATATATATATATATATATATATATATAATTGATGACATATATTATAATCATATACTAATAATTTATAAGCATACATATTAATCACATAGGATAAACAAAGTATCAAACCTTGTATAATTGATTTTCTGATTTTTCTAAATAATTTATAATTTGTTGAATATCGAGTGTTTTTAACATATTGATTGTATAGACCTAGGCTTATTAAAATGAGATAAAAAATCATAATTTATATATATATATATATATATATGTGTGTGTGTGTGTGTGTATAATCACTTAATATAATAGACTTATATATTAATATTATGATGTGTAAGTTCAATAAATTCAATGGTTTTTGGTCATTATTAGAATGTTAGAAACAAAGTAGGAATCTATTTTATCAGCTTTGTAGACAAGATAATAAAAATCAATGATTTTGGATTCTAAGAAATAATTGGTGGTTTACTCTTCTATTTTTAATTTAAGTTTTGTTTGAACTTGTCTTATTGTTTTTTAACTGACATACATTATAGACTAGTATTTAGAAAAATATACTATGATACTTGATCTCAATATTTGAACAATTATATTGTTTACACAGAATGCATTTGTGATAGATCTATGTTGATTATTGATAAAAATTTAAATATCTGAATTCTCTTTTAATTGTATAATAATAATAATAATAAATTAATTATTAAAAATACTAATATGTTATAAACATAGAAAATAGAATCATAAACCATATCTATAACCATTTGTTTACTTGTTTTAATCATTGCAACTTTGGATATAAGAAAATATGATTGTTTCTTATGAAAATCGTAAATTTTCATCAATATTTAATACTGGAGATGTTTTAAATAATTCATTAAATGTATAGTATGCATGTATATGTACTTAAATATTTATTTAAATAATCTAAAAATAAACCATGTAGTGTGTATATTATTTAGTATAGATAGAAACAATAATTAGGTCATTAATCAAGTTCATCAGTTTTCTTCTTAAATCCAGTTAGTTATTTGACTATTGTGGATTGTGATGTTTTTAGCGTTTTAAAGTAAATGACATTTTTTATGTGTACATAATTAACTATTCTAAAATAGAAATAACATCAAAAAATACATTTCAAAGATGTATTAAGTTTTGAAAATAATCAGATATTTTATTTTTTAGATTTAGAGTCTTTCAATTTCGTCATCTACATTTAGTTTGTATCTCTAAATTCTTCATTTGTTTAATTTTACTCTGCTTATAAATTAGTACAATGATTTTATTACTCAATGTTTTGTATATTTTTTAAATAAAAAACTTAGAAATATTGAATTTATAAAGTAAACACTTGGTTTTAGAATCTTATGTATGTGCAGACGAACAGTTGTAAAGAGAGTATTTTTATTACTAAAAAATAAGCTGTAAAAACGAATGGGAATGGATGTTCATTAAGTAAAATTAATCAGAAAATGTTTAAATCAAATTCAATAAACTTATCACAGTATCAAGTTGCTATAATTGAACTTAAAAGGCTACACATCATTAAAAAAAAAGATAAAAAAAGAAGCTAACATGGCTAAAAGCCCACATTAAAATAATCTACAGAGACATGAGAATTGATTTTCAGGAAATGCAGCGAATGTTAGACCAACATGAAGCGTCCACCTATAACCAAGGGAGCCCATCACCCCGTGCCTGGGGGACCGAACGACCGACCGTCAACACAACGCCGGACGAGGAACGACGACGACGACTATTGTGAACGTGAACGAAGTGGAGGCGGCGTCTGTCCGTCCATCCCTCCGTCCGTGCGTGGGTGTGCGCGAGGCAGGCAGCGTGGGCACTTGTTGCTGCGTCGAAGAAGAAGAAGAAGCAGAAGAAGAAGCAGAAGAATAAGAGGGGCCTATCGCCATAGTCATGAGGCAGGGAGGGAGGAAGCAAGGAAGGAAGGAAGGAAGTAAGTAAGTAAGTAAGGCATTTGAGAGTTGCAGAGCGAGTTGCAGAGAGTGAGAGAGAGAGAAAGAGAAGGAGAAGAGCGAAGGAGAGAAGGATAGCGAGAGGAAGAAGGGCTCCTCGCCGAGGGAGGGAGGGCTGGCCGAGGTTCTATATTTTGTGTGTGTTTGTGAGAGCACTAGTGGCTGGCCTTGGGATGTTGAAAATATTTTGCCCGCACTTCCCCGGTCTCCATCATATATCCAGCTGTGGCCTCGGTCGATCTCGCAGGAACGAAGTTAACTGCTGGCTATCTCATGCTGCAGTGCTATTCGCGATTACCGGATTCGTCGTCTGATAGTAAAGTGTTACATGTGAAGGATGGTGATTACAAGATTAGAATGACATAGCGATGATGGCAGCTCGAGATTGAGAGTGCGAATGAGATGACGTTGAGGTTGCGTTGGGATTAGATCGAGGGCGGGGACAGTGGCGGTAGATGGAGCAGAAGGACGGGGGTTGGAAGGCAGGGCAAGGGTTAGGAGGAGGGGGAGCAGGAGGAGGTTTGATGATGAACCAGGCCGAATCATTTAAGATGGTGCAGGACGGGATGGGAGGGTTGGACGTGGGATCGGATGAGCGGAAGAGAGCTGGGAATGCGGATGGCGTACCGGTCGACGACAATCTCGCCTCGAGTACCACTCGCCAGAAAGTTGCTGCGGCCAAGCAGTATATTGAAAATCATTACAAGTCGCAGATGAAGAGTTTGCAGGAACGGAAAGAGAGGTATTTGATGAATCCTCCCCTGCTCGCTCTCGCAGTGGTTTAAACCTTGATCTTGCGGAGTGCAATCTGTGGCGAATGCGCCCTTGGCTTTTCTCATATTGTTGACATTCCCTTGCTATTCGACTTAGCTTGTTTTTCTTCGTTGCCCCAATCGCCATTCTGAAAATCTCGAGAATGTGGGTCGTCTCAATCGAGGAAATGCCGTTCATCAATATTTTTATGTACGAAAGATCTGGTGAGGCCGTTTCCATATTTCGAGAATCTGTTTTGGAGGTGTTAAATTCTACGTTCAGATTATGAAAGACATGTAATTGGCAGTTTCAGGATCTCCCTTGGCGCAATCTGTGAATCTGTTTTTGACCTAATTCGCAATGCCGGCGTAAACTGAGAATGTGTGTTGTTCGAAGTGGAAAATTCTTACTCTCCTACCACAGTTCACGTTACTTCTGAAGCTCATGTTGAGCTTGCTTTCGGCGACCTCCATGAAACTGAATTGTTCAGCTGATAGTTGTCCTGGCGCATGCTTTCTTGTGAGGCCTGAAATTCGTGAACTCTTCAATCTTAAGACATTCATTTCTACTTGTCTAGAATTGAAAGTTTCGTGGGATATCGGCTTTGAAAATATCTTAAGTACAAAATTTTGCGGCTCATTTTCAACCTCGATGATCTTAGTTTACTTCAGGGTAAACGTTCAGATCCTCATTTCACTTAGCTTCCGACAAACTCGGTGCTTTCCATTGATTTCACTTGTAGAGCCTAGGACGCGCTGATTGTGTCTTATAATTGTACCTATTTTTTTAGAGTAGGAGGTCAGGGTTTGTTTACAGAGTTTAGTAATCTTCGGCCTTCCTTTGGATGGCATTTGGTTGCATAATCGAGCTTCAAGCTACCCATCGATCACCCGTCGTTGGCTAATCAGAGGGCCTATCTTTCCGTCCTTACCCTGAAGGAAAATGTTATTTTATGAAACCATTCAAACTCGTCAGGCTTTGCGGAGTAGTCAAGATTTGTTGCGATTACGTTGGGCGAAGATTGCAGGTGAGTCTAGATATCTTCGCCTTTTTGCATGGACTTGCGCGTGAGTCTGAAACTCACATCATGGAGAGGATGTTTCTCTTGTTGACAGACGCTGGACCCTCGAGCGAAAATTACAAGATGCCGATGTGTCTCCAGAGGACCAGCACCACCTGCTGAAAGATCTTGAGCGCAAAGAGACGGAGTTTATGCGTTTGCAGCGTCACAAAATGGGCGTGGAAGATTTTGAGCTTTTAACAATCATTGGACGAGGCGCCTTTGGAGAGGTCCGTGTCAATTGAAGGGCACGACATTTTATATCTTAACTTCTCACGGACTTAACTGCAGAGGATGGTTTTAAATAACAAGGGTTTTTTTTTTTTTTTTTTTTTTTTTTTTTTTTTTTCTCCCCTTCTTTTTAATAGTAGATAGTTTGGAATACCTTTTATCTTTAGAATTAACATCATTGTAAGCTCAACAGGTACAATCATTTGTGGCAACCGATTGTCCGGGATACATCTGCAAGCTACGGATATTTGCAGATTACCGCGAAGAGGTCGTTATTGACTGTAAAACGTGGGATTGCAGGTAAGGCTGTGCAGAGCAAAAGCGACAGGGGAGGTTTACGCCATGAAGAAATTGAAGAAATCTGAAATGTTGTCAAGAGGGCAGGCATGTGATTTTTACCTTCGTACTTTCAATGAAAATCCTCGTCTAAGAAATGTCATATGCCAATATGATCAGTCTTGTATGCAAACGGGGATGGTGTGTGTGCGGGTGAGGAGGATTACAAGTGATTGTGTTGCTGGCACGTCAAGTTAATGTATGCGACCTTGGATTTTGATTGTGTACTGGTTCTATCTGGTACAATTTTCATTTGTCCCGCCTAGATAGGCGCAAGTGACTGAGTAGCCCTAGAGTAGTTTCATTCATTGCCTAGGTTATCCGCGAATCATAAACTACATTCCTGTAGCATATCAGTTCTTGGCCGTCATAGTTCTGATCAACATCAATGCAGGTTGAGCATGTGAGGGCTGAAAGGAACTTGCTGGCAGAAGTGGACAGTCACTGCATCGTGAAGCTTCAGTATAGCTTCCAGGACTCGGAGTACCTGTACCTGATCATGGAGTACCTACCAGGAGGCGATATGATGACATTGTTGATGCGCAAAGATACCCTAACAGAAGACGAAGCTCGTTTCTATGTAGCACAGTCTATTTTGGCTATTCAGTCTATCCACAAGCACAACTACATTCATCGGTTAGTTCTGTATTTTGAAAATAAGTAATATGTTTGGCAGATCTTGGCCAGGAAAGAATTAAAATCATCAGAGTTTTGGGACACTTAAACTATCTGTTTTCGATTCAGTTTGTATAGAGTACTCTTTAATGTGCTATTTCCTATATTTTGCGTGACAGGGACATAAAACCCGACAACTTGTTACTGGACAAAAACGGGCATATGAAACTGTCTGATTTTGGATTATGCAAACCTTTAGATTGTAGTGCCCTATCAACTTTACATGAACACGAGCCTAGCACCGATGAGGAATTCCGAGAGCCTATGCCTATGGACATAGAGGGTGGACGGTTACAACCATCCACGCGTGGGCAGCCGTATCGTAGTCAGCAAGAGCAGTTGCAACATTGGCAGCGGAATCGCCGGATGCTGGTATAAGCTCGCATTCTGTCTGTTTGGATTCCGATCAGCAGGATCTTTGATGAATATATTTGTGGTTGCCAAAAATATGATGTTAGTGTACCGCATTGTTTGGATTAATTGACTTGAACCAATGAGTTATGTTGTCAGGTTGTGTTCGAGTGGAATTGTTTAATTTTCTGTTTTATTACCCCCCATTTTCTTCTAGAATTAAAAGCAGGATTGTTATTAGAAATGTATAACTGTATGATGGTTTGATAAATTTACACACCCTGTTTCTTTATTCTGCAGTCTTGAGTTCAGCATGGTTTTGAATAGGACTTGCTGAGAAATGAAGTACAAGTTTGGATGATGCTTTCATATAATCAGACGTACCTTCTCTTCTGGGACATGTAGTCCTCAGTACCACTTGTGGGCTTCACGGCAACTTGACTCGGTTAAAAATAAATGCAGGCATACTCTACCGTTGGCACTCCAGATTATATAGCACCTGAAGTGTTGTTGAAGAAAGGTTACGGCATGGAGTGTGATTGGTGAGTCATTTCATCAAAATGAGGAGACTGTCTAACTGAACACTCTTCTTGAATCATTAGAAAATATGTGTCTTTCAAAAAGCAACTTGAATATTTTCTAAGCACGCTTATGAATTATCAATGTTGGAGCCAATGTGTTGCTGTGAAATATTTTCGGAACATTGTATTGTGTGTGTTGATGTGGATTTTGTTTCTACAGGTGGTCGCTTGGAGCAATTATGTTTGAGATGCTGGTTGGCTATCCACCGTTCTATTCAGATGACCCTATGAATACCTGCAGAAAGGTATGTTACCGTCTTTTGCCAAATGTCTAGTTCTTATTTGCATCGAACTATCATCAATCGCATCGGATGATGTTTGTTTATTAACTTTAGTTTTTAGTGAGTTGGTGGTTGCATTGTTATTTTTTTACTGAAAAAAGTATCTTTCATCTGTTACTTCATCCAAAAACTATCTTTAACATGCGTTCATGTCTTCATGTGCTGCAGATAGTAAATTGGAGAACCTACCTCAAGTTCCCTGATGAAGCAAAGTTAACGCCTGAAGCGAAGGACCTGATCTGTCGATTGCTCTGTGATGTAGACCATCGTCTAGGATGTAGAGGTGGAGATGACATCAAGGTGAATTTCCATGCTTTCTCGATTAATTCACTGTATATCAGTTTGACGAGTTTTTACCGTGCTGATAATTACCACTAGATTTATCTGGCTTGTTGATTTGGTCGGCGAGGAGGTGTAGCGTTCTATTTGTTTCATTGAGATTAAGTTGATTTAGACGGGTGTGCTACTTGGTAGAATGTATCAACGACTGAGTTTGTGAATTTCATTGTTGTTTAGGCGCACCCGTGGTTCAGGGGAGTTCCATGGGACAAACTCTATGACATGGAGGCGGCGTACAAGCCAGAGGTGAACGGAGAACTCGACACCCAAAATTTTGAGAAGTTTGATGAGGTATTATTTATTTATTTATTTATTTTTCACTATATCTCACTCAAGCCACAAATATTTTATTTTTTCCACTTGTGGTTGCTGTCAGTTTTTTGTGGGCAGCAGGAGCATTTGTTTTGGATAATGAGGTTACTGTGATGTGTCAGGATAATCCTGAGTAGTTTCACTTATTTAGTTTATGCTAACATCATGACTAACTGCATAATTCTGTACTCTCCGCCAGTTTTCCTTGCTGGAGGAGGAACGGCCTAATTTCACATTTGTTGTTAGTTTGTATTGGCTTGTATTTCATATTTGTTGGCGATTAATACAGGTGAATTCTCAGCCTCATGCGTCAAGATCAGGGCCTTGGCGAAAGGTAATCATATTTCTCTGTTGCGTTTTGAGTTTCAGCTAATCTGTACATTTAGTTCATGCATTTTTATTTTAGACTTTGGTCTTTGGTCTTTTTTTCTCATCTTCTTTGTCTTCTGTGGTGATTATTTATATATTTTGTCTTTGTATTGGACTTTTTATTATTAAATACTTTTAATCGTTGTCCTGATCGACTTCGGGTTTTTTTTTTTTTTTTTTTTTTTTTTTTTCTATTTTTTATTTGTCTTTATCTTCGTCTGTGTCTTCTTTGTTGATTTTTTTTCTAACTGCTAATCCTCACTGTCATCGTCTTTGTTTTTTCTTCCTTGTCTTCTTCCTTATTCCTTGCCTTCTTGTCCTCTTCGTCCTTGTCTTTTCTTTCTTTATCTTTTGCTTTTGTGCGCTATATTCTCATCATGATGAGCAATTATATTTAGCACTCGAGAACTGCCTCCGTGGATTGAAAACTGTTTTGTTCGTACCATACGCTGCCAATCTGTAGTGATATCATGGTATTTTGAATGCTACCAGATGCTGACTTCGAAGGATGCGAATTTCGTGGGATATACGTACAAGAACTCGGATGTTTTTAAGGGGATGATGAACTCACCTATTGGTACGAAGTTTTGTTTCCCTTTGTACATTTCGGTTTTGTGAGAAGGATAGGGTCTTTTCTAGTATCTTTGTTGATCTGTAGCATCTCTTTGAATACGAGAAACTTTATTTATTTATTTATTCTGGTTGGAAGCATTGTTGGCGTTACTGATACTTGGTTTCTTTTGAGCAGCGGAGCTTAAGAAGAAACCTCAACCCAAAAGACCATCCATCGTTTCTCTCTTTGGTAGGCTATTTGTAACTCAAAGTGGATCTTTTTACTAAGTAATCGATCCAATTGGTGGAGAGTTTGTTTGAGCATTGCGTAAGCTATTTTCTGTTTGTTATTAACTTGGTTCGCATTATATGTTTCCAGATAATACGAATACAGGTGCGGTTTCCAATAGTGAAGAGTCCGGTGGCACACACATGGACGTCTCAACTGGTCAAACTCTTCATCCTCACTATGTAAACCCCAAGGTGGCAGATAACATGTTCTAATCAGGTGTTTCCAACCATAGTTGACGCTAAATATAGATATTCGTAGTGAAGAAAAGGTGGAACTAGACCTCGTATAATGAAGGGTTTTGTCGTCTGGTGTATACACTATATGTAGTGTTGAGAACATAGTGTTGGCGGGTTTATTTTCTTGGATCTGGTTGATTTGGTAAGTAGTTCCACAAGGTTTGGATGGAGTTTTGAAGAATGCAGTTCTTGTCAGGATAAATCCATGCCAGCTTGATGCATGGAGATGCGTTTCAAGTATGACCATGAAATATCATTAGACATCCTGGTGCTGGGAAAAGCATACTTGAGTCAGAGTTCCTGAAGTGCTCGCACTAGGACCTCAGTATTTAGTCAAGGTAAGTTGTAGAAAGAATCCTCTCGAAGATTTGTTTCCAGAAGGAGCTCGGCATCTGATCTCCACGGGCTTGCCACAATATTCGAATAGCTCAAAAGCCTTTTAAGATCAAGAGACGAGAATATGCAGAATAGCGCACTGTATGTACAATAGACGTGTCCCACAAATTGGACTTAATGAATTTCATTTTGGGTGGTGCAGGTTACTCTGCTTATTCTCTCAAAACGTTTTTTTTAGAAAAAAAAATCTGAAACCAATCCATTGACCTTGGGCGTGTTCAGAAGGAACTTACTGATCATTGCTTGCTTTTGTCTTACCAGTTGCATTTCCCAGCAGCTAAGAGCCGTAAGCATTGCAACGTGATTACTTTTTTGTGCAGAACCAGTTCATGGAAAGAAATTTGTTCGTATTGGGAATCTATTTCATAACACTTCCAAGGATACATAATGAATTTCTTTAATTCTGGACGTAAAGCTCCAATATCCTATTGGTTTCCACCCGCTGCAGCTGGACCTTAAAATTTAAAATTTAAAACCGTCGAGCAGTGTGTAGAAATGTGAACTCGTTCTGATCACCTGTTATTTTTCAGTCGTGGTAATTTGAGGGTTCACTCAAGCGGTTCGGCAACGGCACTAGGCAGTGATAGAGATGAGAAGGCAAAAATCCCTACTCTGTTCTAGATTCAATTAACGCATAGTCGGCGATTAAAAGAGACGCGTGACTTGCATTAGGTTTTGGCCAATTTACGCTGCTGGTGGTGTTTGCTTGTGCCGTAATTGGGTGATGATTTCTCTTGACTCCTGGCGAGCAAAATCCTGCAAATGAGGTTCGCTTTTCTGACCTAATCCTGTTCAATGTCGTCTTCGATAATGCTTCAAGGCGATCGCTTCGTCGAAGATTGTGGCAGGGAGAGGAGAGCAACCTCGAGAATGGGGTGGAAGTAACAGAGGACGAGAATTCATGGAAAGATGACTTGGGACCTGTTGCTGTTGTGCAAAGGATTGGGGCCAGTGGGAACCATGCGATCGGATTCGAAGTGTGCCGAAATCGACCTTCGGGGAATGGCGGGCTCGGCATGTGGAAGATTATGACACGGACGAGTTTGCGGCGGCCGGTCTGCGTCGGGGCTTGGTCTAGTGACAGCGCTGGCGACGATTCTTCTCTTCCTTCTGCAGATGACGTGCCTCTGCTGATCATCGCAAGGGGATGAGACCTGGCGTTGGATTAGTTTCCGCGTCGAGCGTTGTCTTTGGCTCCCACTGTTTAACGTACCAGAGCTCTGTGACCCGTCGGAGTAGGATTCAACATCACTTGCCTAGGGTAGAAGGCGAGGGGAGAGGTTTAGTTAATGGCGAGATTGAACCGCAAATTTCGGATATTAACGAACCACATGAGGATCCTTGCATCCAGTAAATTGAGGGATGAATGATGCAAGAGCAACCGATCATAGAGATTAACGACGGGGGTACAGTCCGTAGAGTCGAGTGGTTAGAGCGTAGAAATTAATTATCGCGATAAGTCGATTAGTGCACGAGAGATTTATAGTATCTCTAGTTACATTACAGTGCCATTTATTGTATTAGAGACTTGATGGTAAGCAAGCGCTGCTGTGTACCTTGAAGGTTGGGAGATTGCGCTGCGGTGCGCCCCTTGCTATCGCAGCCTGTGGAACGATTTCCAAATCTAAGTGCTTACGTCTCTCCAAGGGTGCTGCAAAACCAGCCACGGTAGCAAACGAAACTTAGAGTTGCATTGGTCTACTGAGAACTTGAAGGTAGTAAATTATTTGTAGCAGTGCCATATTCCTTAGGACGAGGCATTTCACAGCTGAACCTTGTTCTTCATAGAGACAGAAATTCCGAATGCTAGACGAGGTGTGCATGAAAAAGGAAACAGGCTAACTTCCAGATTAACAAAAAAATGCAAATATAAATGAAACATAGCAACCGCAACCGTTTTATGCGAAACAGAGTACAAAACAAACCTTGATTATATGCTGCTGCGAAGTAGGAATTTGCGGGCATTGGCCGACTCAAACTGAACACAAAGGAAAGAACGCGACAAGCGAATTCTCAATCGATCTATCACAGACAGCTTCGAGTTGGTCAGAAAAGCATGACGTACCTGGAGCAGGATGGAAAAGCGGCTGACTGTAGGTGATAAACGCTACTACTGTAAGAATCAATAGCAGTGTAAAGCTCCAGCTGGTCGCCATCGCTGGTACTACACCACTTCACGAGCAGTAAATTGCGATTGTCTGTCATACAAATCCTCTTCCTCCCTTTTCCTCTACCTCCGCTAGTGGCGAAGTTTACAAGTTACGTCGGTCACACCAAAGTAACTATCGTCTCAATCTCCTATGACAATCTGAGCTTCACGTGCAGGAATCGCAATTCTCCAAGGGTCCTAGCGGCAAAAAGTGTATTCAGGATTCATACCAGCGCGTAACTGCTCCTGGAACCCACTCTGGCGCAGACTCAATCTGGAATGATGCAGGAGATCATGTGCGCATAAGTTGCATCACGAGAGGGCAACCAGAATCCGAAGCCACGATTCGGCATGGTGATGGTGGAGGGAGCGATGTCACCAGCTCAGCATCGTGGTTGCCAGAGCAGCGGGCTGCGCCAATGTTACACGGACAAAATTTCGGCTCATCGCCCGACCACATGCCACCAAATGCATCCACCTCAGAAATTTGCGTACCGGCAGTACTGACTCACAATCGCGGATCGCACATGCAGAGGGAGAAAGAGAGGGAGCTTGTCTTTAACGTTAGGCAACATCCTAGACTACACTAGTTGATAACTTGCACGCGCGGTGCCAGCCATCGCAACCGAGATCCCTGAGACAAAAATAAGAAGTAGAAAAAAGAAAAAAGAAAAACACACACACACACACAGAATAAAATAAAATGCTACCACTGGAAAACGCTTGTGTTGCAAAAACAATTTTGTGGCAGTGGTTGCGAGTGCCACATCAAAAATATGTGAGACGTCGACGCGGCATCTGACGGGCACCACGGGCACTGGCACTGGCAGCAATCCCCAGAAGCAGTGCAACCTCAGTGAGTACTTCACCTTCTCTTGATAAGCAACTTCATCTTCCTCAAATCAAAAACCAAACCCCAAAAAATAACCAATAATAAAATAATACAAGATCCCTGTCCTCTCTGCAATTCAAGTTAGATCGAGTCTCAGATAATGAAGTGTACCTATAGACTGCTCCGTGTTTCTCCACTGCTCACCTCCACATGATAAATTCTACACCAATTCTACCTCATCGTTCAACATCTACTGTAACTCTCCCCTCGAAAGATGGAGACGCACTTTGGGGGAGTCTACTCATTCAACACAGAAATCGTATCGTCTTTCCTTTTATCGTATGACTGCAGTTCGCTATGGTGGCTGGTGCTGTGAGATCAGGTTCAGCGTCGAGTCATGGCGATGGAGCTCACGAAGAAGAAGACTCTCAAGGGGTTTTGTAATATGCCGACGCTCCCAGTCTGAAGACAAAGGAGATGAATCAGCCTTGCAATCAATCACATGAGGTGGGGCTACTGATAACTTCCCGTAGTGGAGCAAAAAAGATGAGGATAGACATGATGATTTGCCACTCCAATAACAAAGTTGCAAACAAAACATTTGGCGATCTTCATGTCGTGATGCGGTATTCTTCATCCCCACCACTCACCGGAATTGCCTGCTTCCTCTAACCGAGAGACGAAATCCACAACAAAGCATATTCTGTGTGTTTTTGTGTGTGTGTGTGTGTGTTTTGTGTAAAGTAATTTCTCACCATTTTTGGGGCTCATTCTTTTCACACTTCGGTGTTCCTTCAAGTGGATCTTTCTTGCTGTCATGGATCAGAGCTCCCCTTGGAGCTTAATTCACCGAAGTGGTCATGAGCAGGGGAACGCAATCCATCTCCTCCCTAGCCTCAACATAACCCATCAATTTCAAGGACTGCTTGATGAATTCTATTCTGCGGGTTGCCGTACTTGAAGTAGTAGTACCCTTCTACGTGGATTAAATGCTTCTCCCTCTACAAACATTATGGTGCTATTCGATTTGCTTTGCAATACTCTAGCGCATCGTTTCGTTTAATTTTGTTTGTGTTTTTCCCTTTCAAGTTATGAGATGTGGTATTCTGTGTACCTGAATTCAATTACTTGGACTCTATGGTTACCTATATATATATATATATATATATATATATGTATAGATAAACTGTTTTTGTCTTTTATCAAAGATCTATGATCTGCTGTGATTTTAGTTATTAAGATTTGTAATTCTTTTCAATGCAATGAGACATGACTTTGATATCCACAAAAGATTATATTGGTTGAAAATTATTTTTTGGGGAGCAACTACATATTATTCACAAAATTTTAAACTATTACCCTATTTCTTTTCTTATTTAGCCCACTGAATGATAGTTAGTAATAAGATGAAATTCATTTTCTAACAGACCTCAGTTTAACTAATTAAAAAACTTATCATTACCACTTTTAAAAATTAAAGAAGGTTAATGCAAGGATAATATGAGTTTTTTGTTTTATAATTCATATATTGTATAATATTTTTTTACTTTATTCCACACACTAATAGAAATCACACAATAGAAATTTTATACTCTAATTTATTTAATCATACGTTTTTTTATATAAATATAAAACTCACCCTTTAATTTTTTTTGTAATAAATAAAGTAAAATAAAAAATTATATATATATATATACAAGTTTTTTTTTTTTTTTTTTTTTTTTTTTTTGGTTAAGTTCTAATAGTAATCAACTTTATACTTTATTTATTTACTACTCTAAATTCAATATTCTTGATATCTTGAGTTTTAATTTATAAAAATACATCCAAAAAATACACTTTAGTAAAAAAGTTAAGATGTAATAATTATTTTTAAAAATCCTACTTTAGGTTTTTTTAGAATAATATTAAAATTTTAACTTTTAAATTAATTTTTAAGTAGTATTTTTTAAAATTAAAATGTATTTAGTTGCAAGAAGCTCATTTAAGTTGATTTTGATAAGTTCTTATTATTTGATATTAGTTACATAGATATAAAATTTATTTAGAAATATTTTTGTAAAAAGTGAATTATAGAATATAAAAAATAAATATATCAAATTAAATTCTATGAAAAAGAATTAAATATTTTTTTGATGGAAGACTTTCAAAAGTTAGAAAGCATCTAATAAGATTCATTATTTAAGATTCTATATGATGCTTCTTTTCGAATCTTTAAAGAAAACTTTATAATATATAGACATAAAATAAATATTCAATAATAGTGCAAAATTATATATATGAGAGAAATTATATACCCTCTAAGCTTCCAAAATAAAAAATAAAATATAGTTATAAGTCAATTAAGAATTAAAAAATAATATGATTTGTAGATATGATTTAAATTATTAATATTAGCCAAAAAATATAATTTTATAAAGATCTTAGAATAAATGATATGTATTGGATTTATTTTGTGCTTATAATTTAGTAGTTTTGTTACTTAATTCATATATATAAATATATATATATATATATATATATATATATATATATAAGTGTGTGTGTGTGTGTATAAAAATTGATACTTAATTATTATTTAATTTATGTAAATTATGTATATATGTTTATATATATATAAATTAAGTAATTTTAAAATATAAATAATTATATATTAAATAATTAATTATATATTAAATAATTAATTATATATTAAATAATTATATATATATATAAATATAGAACATATATATTGACAAAACATGATTTATTAAAATGACCATATTTTGCAAAGATAAATAGAAATAAAAAAATAAAGAACATACAGTGGATAATCATTAAAAAAAGATGATTAATATATAAGTGTTTTATCATGAAAATAGTAATGAAGAATTTGAACAACTATTATTAAGTTAAAATTGGTAGTAGAGACTTGAAGCTAGACTAGAGTTTAGAAAAGATATTATTAAGACTAAAAATGCCCTTAGTATTGCTTTTAAACATATTAGCTAAACAAAAGGCCATGTAAAAACTTTTCAAGAACCACAATGCTTACAAAATAAGTGTTAAACTTATGAGATGTTTTCGTGGCACCTTCTAAATTCCAAAAAAATTGTAGAAGAAGTTTACAACACATAATAATACCATCCTAACATAATTCTACTTATTTTCGTTTACTCCTAATTACCAAGTGTTTTAAAGAACAAATAATCATTTTTATGATTTTTGCATCAATGATTATACATTACCAAATCAATTACAAGGAAAAGAAAAGAAAAAATCTAACACATAACTATTATGGAACATGCAATAAACAACCAAACTGCCCAAAAGTAGTTGACAAACATGACCACAAAGGCCAAACAAGACATGCATTGGCTACCAAAACCCATGCAGAGGATTACTTTCACTTTTATGATAAATGGGAACTTTCTTCCGTTCATCCCATATGCATCCATCAATCATCCATCCATCCATTGTTCCATTGGTCTGGGCAGCAAGAAATGGTGTGAGCGTTGTTAGAGCGGTGATGGTTGCCGAGAGTTCACGGAGCAGCGCGGCGGAGATCGTTGTCTAGAATCCAGCATCCCATGCTCTCGTACCTACTTCCTCAGTAGGATTGGATCGTTCAGGGGAGACGCGCAGGAGACACTAGCTCAGCGTGGCCGATAACCCACCCCCACTGTCGTACGTGGTGGAGCATAGTCTGCGATGGCCTCCGTTGCGTGAAAATACGGGCTCCAGCTAATGCTGCTAATGTGGCTGCTGCTGGCAGCAGCAGCAGCAGCAGGAGCAGCATCGGGTCCCTCTTCTTCGCACACTCCGACTCTCTCGTCTCCCCCTCATCCTTCCCTGCAGTGCCGCCCCTCGCGTCCCCCTCAAGCATCCCTAGGGTTTCGATCCTGCCTCCGCCGCCGCCACCGTCGCAGCCGCCGCCGCCGCCGCCCTGCACCGCGTGCAAACCTTGTATTGTACTCCTATATCAGTCCATTCTCTGCTCCTGGGGCATTCAAACCCATTTTGGGGAGGAGTTGTTAAACATTGTAGGCACCAATCTGCGCTGCCTGTGTGCTGTTCGACGCCGTCTCGGCGGATAATCCGAGGTCGGGTGATGACTCGGAGAGTCGGGAGGGGGGTTTTCGTTTTTCGTCACTTTGTGTTTGCGAGCGCGTGATTTAGGGTTTCTTGCACAGTTCCTGTCTGAAACTGAGCGATGAATTAAGATCGGTCGGAATTGTATCGACACTTCTCTGCTTTGAGTCCGACTGGGCTTTGCGACCAGGTTGGCCTTGTTCAAACATGCTGCGGGATTTGAATATGCCTTTTCGCATGGGAATTGCCAGAGGGTTTTGTATGTCACGCTTGTATTATCTTTGTGCTTGGAAGAATCACAGCATGCGACTTCGTAAGAGTTGTTCTCATCACCATCTGTCTTCAATCTAAATGAATTCATGTGTGAGGATTTATATGCATATATAGGGAGTTGTTAAAGTGTTTCTAATAATAAATTATACACAAAATATAATAAATAGTCTAGAAGGTAATACACCAAATACAATGTGGGTAAGCAATAGCCATGAAATCGACATTTATCTACCCGTTTGCACATCAGGATAACATTATCAAATGGGATTATCAAATGGCATTACCAAATGGGATTGTTGTAATTAAAAAGATTTTTGACCTAATTAAAGGTCCACCTAATTTCCAAACCTAATTTTCGAACTTGAAATTTGTAAGTAATAGTACTTATTACAATTTTATTTGATGGATCTAAGTTTTTGTTTTTTTGTTTGTTTTTTTTTTGTTTTGTTTTTTTGTTTTTTTGCAAAATCCAAAATTCAAAGGCAAACCATTTCTTGAAAGTGGTATTTTATAGAAACAAGAAATTGTATGTATATTTCTTTTATTTAATTTATCAACTTCTATGTGATATATACAATTTTATTACATGTTTTTCTTTTGACTATGGTTCCTATATTTTTGATTATATTATTGTTGTGAAAGTTTTAGAGATACTAATTAATCTTAATTAACTCATTTTGAATATTTTTACTCCTATTTGTATTGAATCAATCTTCTTGATAGTAATTTAATATTTTTGGAATAAATATGCATTTATATTTTGATTAATTCTAATATTTTGTTAGTCTATTTGAACATTAATTAATAAACAAATCATCAGCATGATCAAGCCCTTTTAATGTAGGACATTGAGAACATTGTCCTATATTGTATACTATAAGACATAACTTGTCTTACTTGTCTTGTATTAGACTTAATATAAGATACAAATGAATGTAAATGGAAAATGTGAATATGAAAAAAACAATATAATATGGACGATTTTGTATGTAGAGCCCAATAATTACTTTTTGCTATCTCTTTTAACTATGAGTTTGAAAAATATTCTCTAATTTTCTTAATCTAAGATACAATTTTTGATAATTTCATGACAAATATCCTATATTAAAAACATTATCATTCATTAAAAGGTCCTAAGTATATTGGTGGTTGTATTTTTACAAAAAATATTTTAAAAGAATTTAAATATATATTTTTTGGCTTTTGTATTATTAATTGTATTTAATTTTATTAAATGATA